ACACACACACACACAGTGTGAATCCATTATGTAGCATTCTTAAATGACAAAAATTTTAGAAAGGAAGGAAGTGGAGGTCGCCAGGAAGTAGGCCACCTCTCAAACCAAGCCCAGAGTCTGGGGGTCAGTATGCTGAGGGCACATGGGGATGTGACTGCACTGCAGGTTCCTACTCCAGCAGAGGGATGCCCTGCTCCCCAGAGCTGAGTTGCCACATCTTACTTCTGGAAGAGACCATCCTCCAGGTACCCATATTCTTGCCCTGCATTTACATGCAAGCCAGCAGATAGCCCATGAGAGTTGTGCTCTAGAGAGAGCCCAGCACCACTAGTGTTTGGCAGGCACTTCTGGGTGAAGATCTACAAGGAGTCAGGCCAACCTGTTCTCCATCCTTCTGACCTGGTGTTTATATGTTTCGCTTTGTTCTAATAATGTGCTTGTTTTGCTACTTAAGAGTTTTGCCTCCATAAACAGCAAACTTGTCTGTGTGTGTTTTTAATTTGTAAAATTACCTGGCCTCTTTGAAAGCTGCAAATACTCAAACACTTCATCTGTAGGAGCCAACTGTTCTCCCTCGCAGATGGCTGAGCCTGCATATCCCACTGGCGGAAATAATCATCTGAGGGTAAATTGCTTTGCCCACATGGAACCAATTAAGTATGTTATCAAAAATAAATGAAGGAGGAGGCACCAGCTTAAGGCCAGAATTATGGGCCAGATATAACTTTGATTTTCACCTTGCCTAGAGTAGCAGCCCATCCTTGCAGCTTGCTTGCAATATTCCACAGAACTGACTCTGATGATAGCGAATAAACTAATATGATCAAAAGTCATAAACTGTCTAAAAAATGTAGGATCTTTCTATGGGGCGATTGAGAGTTCTATTCCTTCAACTAGTTGGTGATTCAAATTCATATAAACAGAATGATAGCAAGTACGTGGACCATCCTAGAAAATGAGAAGCAGCTTAGACACAGTCATCTGACCACTTCATTCCCGATGAGAACATTTCTCTATGGGGAAAAATGCTCACCCTATCATATAAGATAATAAAACAGAAGTGAATTATTTTATAAAAGTATACACAAATAATTTTAATATCTCTCATATCCTACCATCTAAATACGTAGGTCATGTTTGAGTTGAACTATTTTTTAGAAAGATTTATTTATTTATGCATACAAGAAGTCGGGTACAAGCCACAAGTGGGGCATGGGGAGGAGGGCAGTGAGACGATTCAGAGACAGAGTGGGGAGCAGAACAGGCTAATGAAGTACACTGCTGAGGGGAGCAGCAAGCTTGACAGGAGAGGTCTGCTGCACCATATAGGTCACCTTCCTGGCCTCCGTGGGGGACCAAACTTGTACTGCAGTGGCTGCTGATAGCTTCACTTGTGCCACCAGGGAGGTGCCTGAGTTTAACTATTTTATTAAGGTGAGTACATTTGAAAACAAACAGGCTCTTAAATTCCCAAACCCTGGGCTCTACCTGGTGGCACAATGGGTTTGAACACAGCACTGCAAGCTAGCTGCAGCCACCTCAGTGCAAGTTCAATCCTGGGCCCCCGAGATGACCCACATGGCATGGCAGATCTTTCCTGTCTCACCTGTTGGCCCTTCCCCCCCAGCAGTGTACTTCATTGATCTGCCTGTACTGCTCCCCACTCTGCCTCTGGTGAAGCCTCTCACTGCCCCTGCACCTCTGACTTGCACCCCAGTTCTATAGGCATAAATAATCTTAAAAAAAAAATTCCCAAACCATGCAATATCCTTATTGGACACTTGCCATTTTGAATAAAACATACAAAACATCTTAGAAAATTGTCCTAGCTCATTCTTTTGAGGAAATCGCTGAAGCTCCAGAGGGCAAAATGAAATTCAATCCCTTCATGAACTCTGACCTGGGCAATAATTGTAAAAAACATCTCAATGCACTGTTCCACATGTGTAGGAAGATCATGTCTTCCCCTCTTTCCAAAGAGCTGAGACAGGACTACCAGCTCTGATCCATGCCCATCTAGAAGGATGATGAAGTTCAGCTGTTTGAGGACAATATAAAAGGCAGCAATATCCCAGGCTTACAGGAAGAAAGACATCATCTACACTGGGTAAGTGCAGCTGTTCAGGTGGGCATTCAC